TCCCAGCTTCCCTCCCCTGGCCTTCCCTTGTGCTGGCATCTTCTGCTGCTTGGTGTCTGGTTACCTTGGAGGTCAGCTTGCTGCACTTGCCCCCTACTAGGGGAATTAACCACCTTCCAATAGACTGTCTCACCGTTCTACTGGTGCTCGTGTCAGCACAGGAGTGGGACTGTTTTAGTAGGTCCTTGAAGGTCTTATCCATATACCTTTATATCTGCGCCAGCTTCTCCAGGTTAGCATCCCTAATTTCAAGGAAACAAACGTGTTCCCTGAGAGCCAAGAGATTCATGCTTTGAGCACATACCTACAATTTCTGCCCATGGTACAAATAATCATACATGTACAAAACACTGAATAGCCCCCACTCCCCTTTCTAGCTTCATCACTTGTTTGTTTAAAAGTGTCTTAGGGTTGAAATAAGGTGCTTATCTTAATCAGTACAGATTTCCGTATCAGGAAGGATACTGCAGTACACTGCCTTCCTTGCTGATGTGGAGCTTTTATGTTCTTTTTCAGAAATTCAGGATAGAGAGGTCTCTCCTGCTACCCTCAGCCTCCATTGCTGAACTCCCACACTCAACTCCCCTGTTAGAAGCCCTATTTGAAAGCCCTGTGATGCAAGCCCCCAGGAAACCTGTGCATCTTCTTACAGAGTCTAACTTCTAATGAACTGTGTTTTACAGCTGTTAGCTGTGGCTCTACCACCAGGAGGCCCCGGTCACACGGAGCATTAGGTACGCTAGAGAGACAGAAGATAGGCGGATTTTCCGGGCGCGATCTCACCACCACATCTGGGAAGTGTAGTGCTCCCGTGGCTCACCCGAGGCTTCACTCCGAAGATGCGCTGTAAAAAACTAGTACCTCCAAGGTACTAGTTTCCGGAAACCGCGGGGCAAGGGCGGGCGTCAGATCACGTTTTCTGTGTTAGCTCTTGGCATCCGGTGCCCGCCCATGTCCTGTCGCGAAAACTTTTTTTTTGTCAAGTCTCCACGGGTGCGCACAAGCACCCAACGGCGCATGCGAAAACTTGGGTTAAAAAAACCCATAACCCCCGGGCGCCATTTCTTTGCTGCGCCGCAGGAGTGAGGTATGATTGGCACCTCCCCCCAACCACAGGATGTCGGGCGGGACATTTGATCCGGCTGCTGCACGGTAGTTCGCTCCGGGGCCTCCCCCCCCGCGCGATATCCGGCCTTCACTCACTTCACTCAGTAAAAGCCACTCCCAGCAGGACCAAGTTCTTCTAGAGCACTCACCAAAAACTAGATCGTCAGAAAGACACACTCCAAATAGCCCAGGAACCAAACAACCTCAAGCAGACACACAGGCTTACCCCTCTTTGTTTCTTGCAAATAAAGCTTCTCTTTGTTCGATAATCATGTACTAATTGATTTGGGCTTGATGTTCTTATGAATTTGTGCTACATAACTCAACAATCTAAGAATCATCTACAGATTATTTGCAAACTATATTTGCAAATGTACAATTGTTTACTTACAGTGCAATCCTTATAGCAGAGTTATAATCTTCAGTGGACTTAGTTGTAACTGCTTAGTATGGCACTGCTAAAGCATACAGAGCACCTTCTGACAGGATGAATGGTTGCAATAAATAAGTTTTATTTTTAAAACGTTCATGATTCCTTCAATGTTATATGAACTATTAAAAGAGCAACTGTGAAAACCTGTTTACTGTTTTCACTTTCAAACCGCTATTTATATTTTATTTTAAACAGTAACTTCTTTTTTCCTCAACCAGTTTCAAGGATAGTTTTTTTAACCAACTTCATTCATTCATCTCAGCAAGAGGTATATTGCATCTCTGCCTGTAAAAAAAATAAAATAACCAAGAAGCCACTGGAAAAAAATGTTCACCAGCTTGCTTAAGATAACAGTATTTAGTCATGCAGTTACCAGTCAGCAAATTTTGCTCAGTTTAGCTTAATTTGGGAGAGTTAATAAATTCACAACTGTTAATAGTATGTTGTATATTTGATGAGCATTCTTTAAATAGCTTATTTGGATGATTTCTGATTTGTTATTTATTTTGTCACTTTTCATTATCTGTTGGAAGACTGTTTAGACTTCATTTTGTATTCTGTGATTTCTAATGCTAACTCCTTGAATCAGAAAACTTCAGACTGAATGGACTTCCTGTTATTTACTCCAGGGCTTGTCCTGGTCATGTCACGGTTTTCCTGCTAGTGGAGGGTGCTGTTTCCTTTATTCTCTTTCTTGGTGTGTTCTGCATGTGGATGGTGGTATCCTGATGTCGAGGGGGATAGCTGCAACACTGTGTGCTGGTTGTTTCCATCTGCCTGTCACAGGAGCATCATTTAGTATCATTGGGTGATTGGTGGGTTATGATGAGGTCACTATGGACTCTGGTGCAATTGCTATGCTCTCCACACCTCAACAGTGTCTTTTCTACTTCCTTCCCTTCTGCTGAGTAGTCATAAGATACTTATTATTTATATATTTGTTTTATTTGTATCCCACCCTCCCCGCCAAGGTAGGCTTGGGGCAGTTTACAGGCACCAATAATGCAGTGGAATTAGTGATGTGCCTGTGCTGATGTTTTGGGATGGAGCTGTAGTTTTAGGAAGTACAGAGGGTCCTGCTGGATCAGACTAAAGCACCATCCATTCTAGCTTCTTTCTTCCCAGCATATGCCTAGCCAGATACTTTCAGGAAGCCCACATGTAGGGCATGAAGACAATAATTCTCTATTGCTTTATTCCCAGCTTAGGTTATTCAGTAGTCCACTGACACTGACACTGAACCTGAAACCATTTGACTTTCATGCTCAGTTTCCCATTATTCCTTATTAATGTGTCTTACTTTTTAGGGCCATCAGACACCATGCCATCCTGTGGCACCGATTCTGTAAACTGATAAGTGTTTATGAATCTGGTTGCAAAAACTGTAAGAAGTAAAGATGTGCTTTCTTTTGTCTGTCCTGAATCTATTGCCAAATGATCTCATTGGGTGACTGCAAATTCTGGTGTTTTATAAAAGGGGGGGAGGGGAGGGAGAGTTTCCATCCATTTTTGGAGAACAGATGCAAAGTTGTTTCAAGATGACAATGACTACAGTGTGAAATCAGTTTTGACACAGCAACTAATTACCAAATCTATCAAGCACTAGAAGTCAAATGAAATATAATTTCCTTCTGTCCAAAATTCCCAAAGGACCTGTGGAAGATTGCATCTTTTATTGTTAATTTCACTACTAGTTCATAAATGTCAGTTCTGTACAGTTCCATTAGGGCTTGTATAACATTAAAAAGGCCAAATTTGGCTTTAAACGTTTTATCATTTACCAGAAATCAAAGTGCATATTTTAGAAGTCTGTTGTTTGCATCAGGTCAAGAGTAGCTTGTCCCTTGTAATTCTACCCTGCAGAACCACTTCCTATGATAATTTCATATTGTTGTGCTATTGTTCTTCCTAAAGTATTCTGGTTTCTCCCGAATGCCAGTGATCTTGTTTCCTTTGACATTCTAACAGGTTCTTTGCTGGTACCGTCTTGTTAGCCATCTATATCTCTCTTCTCTGTAATTAGTCCCCATAGGTATTCTTGCTGCCCTTTTGGAAGTGCTAATAACAATTTTAGATGGTCCCCACAATTTAATCACTGGAATTTCCACTTTTTTGGTACTACAGAATATATAAATTGACTGGAAACATCACCTATTTTGTGATAAGTTTCTAATTTTGCAACTTGCAGTTCATTTAGGGCCTTTGCTATGGTGTTCTATTAACATTTATTTCATTCCTTTGGATCCTCCTGTTCGCGGGGAGGGCGGGGTATAAATACATTTAAATAAAATTTAAAAATAACTTCCTACATAATTTCTTTAGTTTATTTTGAAGCGTTTATTTTAGCTGAGTAACAGAACTGAGTCCCAACCAAAAGCAACTGATAATCTGTACTGTGCATCTTCTTTATTCTGTCCCCTTCCTTAATCTCATTTGGACATTTTATCATTGTGCACCCATAGTACACACACACTTCCTTGCCTCCTCAGGTAGCCACCGCTTCCTGCCTATCTGCTGGAGACCTCTCGGTGGATCATGAACATCTCTTTTTGGGCTAAAGCGCAAAAAGAGCTAAGGATAAGTTTGGAACAGTTCTCTTCATGGCAGAAATGCGACCTGTCTGCCTCTGCCGGCAAACTGTCATGGGCGAGTGCTCTAGCGCCAAACCTGGGTGGGAAAAGTACCCATTCCCCGGAACCCATGAAAGCGGCTGGGCTGTCTTTTCCCTTGGAATCTTGAGACAACTGGAGGAAGCCGGCGAGCTGCTCCGCGCTAAGAACGGACCGAACCACTTGACGATCCCCTCATCTAGTCAGCAGCAGCTAGCGGGCACGTTCTTCTCGAAGCGGGGACTGCGTGCTGCAAGCCAGCCGGGGAGGGAGGGAGGGAGGGAGGCAGGCAGGCGAGTGTTGTGGAGGAATGATCACCACCTACTTTCTCCGCCTCTCTTGGCTCTTACGCACTTACACCTCTCCCCCGTCGCAGTCGCCAGAGAAAATAAACATTCTCCCGCTGCCTTCGCAGACTCCGGACCAAACCATCCCCCTGAGAAGGGGGAGCGCCAGAGACATGTTTGCAGGGCGGGGGGTAAAGTTTCCAAAGCCGCCGCCGCCGCCGCCGCTCTCCTCCTGCTTGCCTCCCACTCCCTCCATCCCGTTCCCAGCCCGCGAGCCCCGCTCGCTCTCGAGAGGATTAGCCCGGATTGGGGGTTTAAGCGCGCCAGGTGGCCACGGGGCTCCGAGGGAAGGCACGCGTGCCGCCGCCCAACCGGCCGCTCGCGCTATGTGGGGGGTTTGCTCGCCTGCCCGACCCTGGGGCGAGCTTCGCGCCCTACATGTCTGTGTGTCTCCGTGAGGGAGGGAGGAAGGGAGGGAGGGGAAGGAGGCAGGCGCAGGCGCAACGCCCGCCTGTCTGCTCGCCTGCCTGCAGCCCGGGCTTTCTCAGTGCAGTTGCCGGGGAGTTGATGGCAGCGCTGGAGCGCGCCCAGGGCAGCGCGCCGCGGGGACCCGAGCACAAGATGTGCCGCCGGGCGGGAAGCAGCGACCGCAGCAGCTCCGGGGGGTCGGACGGGGACGGGCGTCCCGCGGGGGCCAGTCAGCTCTCCTGACCTGCGTGCGTCCTCTCCCCCGCCCGGCGCTCCCCCCAAAGAATGTCAGCCAAGTCCAAGGGGACCACATCCTCCTCCGCCACCTCCTCCTCGGTGTCCTCTCCAGCCGAAGGGCTGCCGGCCGCCTCCAAAGCCAAGGTGAAGGAGCAGATCAAGATCATCGTGGACGATCTGGAATTAGTCCTGGGGGACCTGAAGGACGTGGCCAAAGAACTGAAGGAGGTGAGGCGGGTGCCGCCGCCGCCTTTGCCCGGGAGCGGGTTGGCTCCGGGTGCCCGCTTGGTTTGCGCTCGAAATGCTTCTTGATCCCCCGGTCCTCCGGGGAGGAGGCGAGGGAGACGCAGCGGCGCAGCCGGGGTTTTTCTTTCGCGTGACTAAGAGCTGGAAGGAGTCCCACGCCCCAAGCGCCAGGAAGGGTGGCCTGTGTGTCTTGTTGGTGGCGGTGTCCTGCGCTCCCCAGATCCGCCCACTCCGGAGTTTGGGTTGTAAAAGGGGGGTGGGGGCAGGAGGAGGAGTTGTGGCTCTCCATCTCTTCCTGTCAAGGAGTGTGTGGGCTTTTCTCTCTCGCCGCCTTTCTCTTCTCCATACAGTATCTTGGCATCCAGACTTAGTCATTGCACTAGCTAAGGAGATGCTTCCTCCTCTGACAGCAGAGAAGCCACTTCACGCCTCCCCCCCCCTTTTCTAGAGTGTGGTTATTTCGAGTCTTTCTCCTGCGGATGTTATTTTTAGGAGGTTTGGGGGTGAGAGCGCATCTTTAAGACTGGCAAACGCACTTAAGTCCCTGTTTTGAACAACAGGGGGATATTACTTTCCGGAAGTGAGGAGGGGACGATGTGATTGATAAAATTTAACTGGATAATGAGACCCTCCGGATGCCACTCCCCCAGCTCCTCTATCTAAACTTCTGTTCATGATCTACTACCATGATTCTCAGCTCCTTCAAGCCAATTAGTAGGCACCAAATCAGGATGATCTTGGGTACAATGCAAGACAGAGATCATGGTTGATCTGATGGTCTAATCAGCACTATTGTACATAAACATTTGCATTTGGTGTTTGAATGCATGGATTGTCACACCAATTTATTTTCCGATCTTCAGAAGTTCCACATGTAGGATGTCATCTGTGTAGAGTTCTGGAGTCTACTCATCCCCCCAAAATCATTATTACTAGACTGTGTTGTTTTAACACAATCATTTGCAAGTTCACTTGGAAGTAAGGCTCAGAAGGACTTACAATGAATTGTTTACATAGGATTGCAACCTTGCTCTGGTATTTGCATGTCGTGATGGATTATTTCTGACATTTTTATAGAAGAAATCTCTGTTCAGATAGGTGTTATCTCTTGCTGTCAGGATTCAACAGTGTGCCATTTTTGGTGATGATATGCAATTTTGACTGAATTTGGATCTGGATAACTCCATCCGAAGGGAAGGAGGAGTGGAGAACTATGAGATATTCTTTCCCCTTCAGATTAAGTTTGCTGTTATAACCTCACATTTATCCTGGAGCTGCTGTCTGAATTGGGTGGCCTTGAATGACAAATATAGATCAGTTGCTTACACAACTAAAGGATTGTACAAATGCTACAATCCTAAACCCTGTTACTGCTTGCTCATTGGGATATTTTTTTCTGAGTAAATGGTGTATATAGTTCAGCTAAAAAGGTGCTGAGGGTGGGGAATGCAGAAGTGAAACTTCAACAAATGGTTCCCACGTTTGGAAATACCATTGCTGGGGGAAATAACCCTTAGATTTTCCTTATCAAGCTTGAATCATAGAATTAATGTAATACAAAATGTTTGCTTGTTTCAGAAACTAATGTAATATTTCTTTAGCCTGTAGCAAGTGTTAACTCTTATAGTTCAGTTAGAGAACAGAATGCAATTACTGCGAAGATTTTCTGAAATATTAAAATGTTTCTGTTCAAATGATGGAACTTGTTTGTTTTGTAAAAGCTTATCTGTCTGTAAAAGCTTGAATCGCTTGTGAGTGTGTGAGTGTGCGCACACGCAGTACAACTGGTGGACAGATGGTTGGATTATGCACTGAGATTCCAGTCCAAACCATGTGGGCATTGCTGTATAATCTATATTATAAAACACTCCTACCCCTAAACATGCATTTCTTAATTTCCCTGATATATAGCAAGGGTTTTTTCTAAGAGACTTCAGAAGCAATTATTTACTTAATGGAGAAAAGAGTGTAAAAGTTAAGAAACATATCTCACTCCTTTTTCCAGGACACATTCACTGTATTTTTCCTTGAAAAATATTTCAGTAGCTTTTCTATCATATTAATGCATACATTCTTCTGTCTCCAAATGTTTGCGAGATTTTCCTCCAAATGCTTTTAGTAACCATCACAGTTGAAATAGGCACCCAATTCTACAAAAGCGCATATTTTATTTAGAGAGACAAAAGCGTATCTTATATTCTATCCCATGAATGTGATTTGTGTAGTTTCTCTAGGAAGCAATCAGGGTTTCTGTAAGTGGAAATCATGTGCTGTTATCATTTATTATAACTTTGTTCTTGGTAAGCAAACTTTTCCAGACTATACCACTGAGAAAATAAAACAACCATTGGCTGTATTGGTTTGTGTCTAACTGTGATTGGCTTTCTGTAAAGAAATGAGCCTATAGTGTAAAATCCAGCTGAATCTTGTAATTACAGCATTGTACTTTAACCCTCACCCTGAAATTTTTAAGATGTTGATTCTGGTGATAAAATATAAATAATTTTTAATTGATGCACAGTTTATGTCTTATGTTAACACTGGTGAATAACTGTTCTGTTTTAAATCTTGAAGTTACATATTAAATTCCTATGCAAGCCTGGTCACTGTCTTACTACACTGTCTTGCTACAAGTGGATTTAACCACCAGACTGCCTCAAAAAAATAGACTTTGGAAGTAAAAAAAGGATTACAATCTGTATTCTTTATGTCTTTGGTTTCCCTTAAAGGCCCAAGCAAATATATATTCTTACATTTACAGTATGTAAGAATATGCGTTGGCTGTATTATTTATAGTTCACCTTCAGAGATCTTCTGGGGGAGAAAGCACCCAGAGTAAAAAAATGTGAATCAGAATTAAAATTTATTCTTTATTCTTATGAAATGCCTAAATCAAATTTACATTTTCACTATTTTAATCTTTGAACAATCCGTTACACTTAATTGTAGATGTGGACATAGCTGTAAACTAATGTGTTTAAGGAAGATGTTTTTTGTTTGTACTCTGAATTGAACATGGTGTTTACCTGTTTTTAATTTCATAGAATAATGAAGTGAAATTTGGTCAAAGGTAAATCGGCAATCAACTAATCTTTTTGAGACAGCTAAATAGATAAGTTGACTTTTTATAAATCAGCTCTAAAATAGTTTGTGTATCTTAACTAATCTTGAAGATTGTTCACTGCAAATTGTAGAGGCTTATTATTATTTCTGGTCTCTTAGGCATCAAGGACCAGTGGCTATCCAAACTAGGGAGTGGCTTGAGGGCACATGATGCACCAACTTTGTTGAAACTAAGGAGGCATGAGTGTGGTCATTGCCTGGAGGGGAGGCTTCTTGGTATCTAATGTAATCTGTGTTGAATTCCATCATGGAAAAAAAGCAGAACTGGACAGAAATGTATAGCTCCATTTCTACCCATCATGTGCATTCTTCTTCCAACTCACTGCATGTTGGCTTTCCCTTCCAGGTCAACTTTTCTATTGCCTTTCAAATATCACCTTGGTCTATTTTGAGTCCTGCTATTTTGAGCCATCTGCCATGGCTTCAAAAAGATCTGCCATCTCCCATCATGTTGAGGCATGGATGTTTGAAGTAGATTGTAAGTTTTTATCAGGGACTGTGATGTTTCTGTGTTTTGCATAGTGCATGTATGCAGTTGGTGCAAAATAAAACTGAAATTATAATATGGTATGGGTTTTACTTATTGTACTGAAATATGATTATACATTTTTTCTAAGTTCAAATTAAAAAAAAGGAAACATAAACAGTTACACAGAATCAGCATGATGTAATAGTAGGACTTGGGAGACTGAGGTCTGCATTTCCCACTCTACCATGGAAGGGTCCTGGGTAGCTTTGGGCTAGTCACTTTCTGTCACCCTAAGACTCCTTACATGGTTCTTGTTGGGAAGATACAGTGGAGGAGGGAAAACAATGTTAAAAGCTGTTTTGGGAGAAAGTGGTATGTATATATATACACACATAACTCAGAGTAAAGTGTTACAAAGTTTTGGATGAGTAGTAGCAAAACTACTGCTATCTGTTGTGTGAGTTGCTGTGCTGACAAACATTCTGTCTGCTTGTAAGGAGTGTTGTGAGTTTTCTGAAAAAAAAGAGAAATGGAAAGTTTTCCAGAAAATTTTCTGATGCCCTTTATAGTGTGATCTGATTTGTTTTCCATTTAGTAAACAAAATTGTAAAAGTACCCTATGTCAATGTACCAATAGTAGCAAAGGATTAAACTGAAATATATGATTAGGAAAAGAGTAATCATGTGATTTAAATGTTTTTGTCAAACAAATTCAGAGTCTATGAGGAATTGAAAATGAAATAATACTTTTAAAATTTAACTATAGGATTCACAATATGGCAAGTATTTATTTATTTATTTATTACTTTCAGTTTCTATACCGCTTGAACCCAGAAGGGTCTCTGAGCGGTTTACATACACAAGTTAATTGCCTATCTAGGGCCACATTTTTGTTTTGCATAGGGAAGTGACTGCCTACAGGCACCCAGGCAGCAGGGCTCTGTTGGTATTCGGCTCTTTTCCAGCGGGCGTCAGGAGTCATTATTGTTTTTCAGTGGATGGGTCTTAACTTCCCTTATATTGTTTAAATTTAAAGGGGGGGGGAAACGCTGAAGGCCCTGAAAACAGTTGTTTCATTCATTTTAAGCATGCTCAAAGATCTATGCATGATATGCCAAGGATGTAGTTGTTCATTAATACATTTCAACAAAATTTAACTCTTCCACAAAGATCACTGGGGCACCTGAGTTCCACTGTAACTTTCTGTAGTATCAGTTGTTAATTCTATTGATGATTACGTTATCCCTTTCACTATCTGAGAGGAGGCAATAAGAATTTTAGCACTGGTTTTGATTTGATTTGCACACTAATCAGGTGGTTTTGTAACTTGTATTTTTAATTTGGCTTAATATATACATTTATGGTTTTATTCCCCCCTTCTCCATGTTTA